ACATGATGCATTTGAGTGCAAACACAAACTTAAACACTTGATAGATGAGGTAAACACTTTCTTGTGAGGGTTTTATTATTTTTGAATCATTCTTTAATTGAGCTTATCACCTTGCTAGCTTTTAATGTTGCATTGGTGTTCATGGATTGTTGTTTAACCTTGATGTTTGAATGTTGTATTCTTTCTTTCTTCTTATACATTTGTGAATTCATTAGAAAAATTTAAGAAGTTTTGCTCATTCTTTGATAAAGTTTTAGAAAAGTTATATTAGAGTGATTTTTAGTTTTGCCCCGGAGTGCAAAAGATTAAGTGTGGGGGTATTTGATAGTAATATTTTAGTATATCTTTATTTATGTGTTTTTACCTTATTTGATTCTTTTTAGTATCCTATATTCATGTTTTAGTTTAGATTTGCATTAGTGAATCATTTAGGAATTAGTTATAAATTTTACTAATTTTCCGTAAGAATTTCCTGTTTTGACACAGTTTCTTGTGCAAGCCATATCTGGAGCTATTCAACTCGGAATTTGGCAAACTTGGTGTCCCTGTAAAGATAAGACAGAGATCTACAATTCTCATGTTGGACGAAAAACCCAGTTTGGACATTTTCAGACCCAAAATCGTGCTTTAAAGTCGCGGCTCTGCACTTGATTGTTCAGCTTGTCATGAAACTGTTTAGTTTAGTTAATTAGGCTTTTGAATTGTAATTAGTGGACTGGACCTTTGGTTTTAGGCCCATTATTTTGTCTTTAAAAGCATGTAATGACTCAGGAGTTGTAGCTTGGAAATTCATTTTTTTAGATTTTCAGATTTGGGATAACTTCCTCAAGAAGTTTCTCTCAAATTCTCTCTTCTCTCTTTAGAAACTTTTCATCTTCTTCTCTGTCACTTTCTCTTACACGAATCTTTTTCTGTCTCACGGAATTTCTTCTCTCAATTGGAATTTGCTGCAACATGATAATGAGGCAAGGCTAATTCCTTAATCGGTTTAAGGTTTCAAGAACTACGGTAAATTTAAGTTTCTAATTTTTACCAAACGAATTCTTTCTTCTTCTTCTTCTCCTCTTTTCTGTTTAGTTTAAATTCGGTTTTTCATGATATTGAATCTCTGTTTTGAATCCTAAATGAAAATGAGAAGAAGTATTTTCTGATTAGAAATAACCTAAATCCCTAATTCAATCGGTTACTTTTCTTGAATTTTGTTGAAATTTGGAATGTGCGATTGTAGTTTCTGTTTTAATAAAATTCACAATCTAGATTTAGATTACTGTTTGGATTAATTTCGGATTGAATTAGATGGATTAAGAATTCGTATTTGTTGTGAACAATGATGATTATACCGTAGGAATTGAAACCTTGAACCGAATTTCTATACTACTGAAATTTTGTGTTGATTTGATTTCTTTACTTTCCTAATACTTTGTTCTAATTGTTTGCTCGAAAATTTTCCCCCGAGTTCTAAACTGATTTACATACATGATTAAATTCAAAATACAATGTGCTTGTGTCCTTGAGAGATGACCTAGGTTAAGTTCTCTATATTACAAAAATTTGTTGAGGAACCTAGAATTGTTTGATAGTGATACGACTGAGCTATCAACTAATTACATCACTAAAAAAAATCCTAACATTAGATTCTAAAAATAAAAAGAAAATATTATGTAGGGCCCCAACATTACAATGTACTTTTGGGTTGTTTAACATATTAACGGGCATTTGCTTCCAACAAAGAAGTTGTAGAAACCTCTCGTATCTTTCTAGGGACACCAATGATATCTAAATATGATGTCGGGAGTTCTAGATATGGGTTACACAAGAAACAATGTCAAAATAGGAAAAAATTATGAAAATTAACTAAAATTTACAACCAAGACCAAAATAACTCACTAGAACAAATCATAGCTAATATATCACTATATGATACTAATAAAAGTCAAGTAAATAAAAAAAATGCATAGAAAGATATATTAAAATTGGTCTATCACTTTCCAAGAACTAATAACCTTCATTTATACTTTTCCTTTCAATCATATATCCAACATATTCATCATTATAGAATCCTACTAACTTGAAATTTTTTCTTTTTCTCTAATAAAAAAGACACAAGTTAGTAGAACCTACAAGATATCTAAATATTCGTTTATCAACCTTTAAATACGATTTTGTGGGATCAAATTGAAATTCAACATAAAGATAGACACTAAACATGATGTTAGGTTTACTTACAATCAAGTAGAGTAAGGAACCAACCATACCTCTATAGATTGTCTAATCTACTTGGTTTACTTGATTCGTATTTTAATAGACCTACAAATAAATGAATGGGTGTTGGCATTGGCTTGCAATCATTAATCCCAAACTCACAAAACCATTACTAAGTAGAAAATTACTTAATCTTTCATACTAAGCTCCAAGAGCTTGTTTTAGATTGTAAATAGCTTTTTTCAATTTGAAAATGTGTTCTTTAAAATTAGGATTTTCAAAACCTGAAGGCTGTTTAACATAAACTTCATCCTCAATGATTCCATTTAAAAATGTGTTATTTACATCCATTTCAAAAAGTTTTATGTTTTTGTGAGCTACAAAGGTTTCATAATCCTAATAGTTTTAATGACTTGTAATTAGTGTATTAGGACTTAATTAGTGGACCAGGCCTTGTTTAGTCAAACGTAAGCCCATTTGATTGTTTATTTGTAGGTATAAATATATGGAACTCAGAGATAATTCTTTTTTGGGAACCTCATATTTTCATATTTCTTGCTCTAGAAGTTTTTCTCATTTTCTCTCAACTTTCTTTTTTTCTCTCTCTCAAATTCCTCTCTATTTTGGCTGAGACTTTTCATCTCCTCTCCGAATAAATTTGTGTATAGAAAATGATGAAGATGCATGACTAAGATTTCTTAATCGATTCAAGTATTCAACTATGCGGTAAAATCGTCTCAAATCTAAATTCCTCTCTTCTCTTATTTTCTATTCTTCAATTAATTTCAAATTAAATTCATCATTATGAATTTCATTTTTTTATTAATTAAAGAACATAATTAATTCGTATTAATTTTAGAACACCGAATTGGATTCAATTTGGACTGGAATAATACAAAGCAGATTTATCTTCATAGGGTTTTCATAGAACACAATTGCATTTTTCATTCTTTAATTTGAATTAAATATTATATGTTGGAATTCATATTATATTTTTTTTATACTGCAATAATTAGAACTTGAATCCGTATTTTATTCGATTGGATTTTCAAATTCATGATTATGTAGAGTTTAAATTTTAGTTTATAAATATTGTACATAAAGTGTTCGATAAAAATCCCCCTCTCTAATTCTTGATAAAATTCAAGTTCTTGTAAATTGTGTCTTCTGTGGAGATGACCTAGGTTGTTTCCTATACTCCAAATAATTTTTTGAGGGGAAACGTAGTTTTATTTGATAGCATGAGAAACCTAGTTTTTATTTGATAGTGTTTGACATCACTATTAAATTTGGAGCCGTTGTTAGGGACACAAGTCACGGTTATTAGAATTTCATCTTGCTCACTAATTGTTTATTCAATTGCTTGTAGTTTTTTTTTGTGTGTGCAAGTTCAAGTGGTGCAATTCGATCTCCAATTGTAATACTGAACTTTGTTTGTGCAAGTCACGATTATTTCTGTTGATCGTTTTCATTTGCCATTATTGTATTCTATTTTCAATTATTATTGTTGTATTCTATTTTCATTTATTGTTGTTGTATTCTATTTTCATTTGATATTGTTGTTTCTAATTATTTTTTTAGTTTTTGTTTTCTATTTCTATTTTGTCTTATTATATTGTTGCTGCTGCATTTGTTTTTTCCTTCTATTTTTGATGCTATTTTTCTATTTTGTTGTATATGTGTCTTGTTGTATTGTTGATGATGTATTGCTGCTACTGTATTGCTGTTGTTGCATATTATTGTATGTTGTTTTGTTTCGTTATTTCTGTATTTTTATTGTTGATTTTTTTTTTTGTATTCTATTTGCTGATTTTTTTGTTTTCTATTAATAGTTGTTGTATTTTTACATTGCATTACATATTTGTATTACATATTGGTATTGCACATATGTAGTACATATGTTATGTTGAATTTGTTGGATGTTACATATGAGTTGATTTTTTTTTTGATAAGTAAGGATTTCTACTAGTACCTTTTTAAGGGTATTTTGGTCATTTGACAAAATTAGCTCGGATTCTCCTGAAATTTGCTGAGAGATAGAGAAAAATCATGCATCAAGGTGCCCCTATCAAGGACTGACTACGAACATCAGGGGTTCCTTTCGCAAAATTCCATCTTTAGACCACTTTTTCAATTTTTTTTTCGTGATTTTTCCATTATTAAAATTCACCAAAAATTTATAAAAAATAGAAAATATGATATGAAATGATGTTATTGTGTCGAAATATTTTTTAAAATTCATTTAGTGTAGTTTTGCATGTTCTAGACCTCATTTCATACCTTTTTGACTTTTTGTTGATTTTTGACTTTTCATTGACTTTGACTTTTGTTGACCATCATAGGCTTAAGTATAAGGTAGATAGTGTTGTCTTAACTACATCTTCTGAATTTGATTTTGATAATGTTGTTGGTTTTGAATCTGAAAATATGGCTAATAATAATGACTTAACTTTGAAGGAATTTGCCACATCTAACATTGTTTATCAACCTTGGTGTGTTGAATACCCTAAAATAGAAGTCAACTATGAGCTTAAATCTGATCTAGTCCATTTGTTGCCTAAGTTTCATGGACTTGCAGGTGAGTATCCACACAAACACCTTAAGGAGTTCCATGTGGTATGTTTAACCATAAGGCCACTTGCTATTCTAGAAGATCATGTTAAAATGAAAGCATTTCCTTTTTCTCTAGATGGTGCAACCAAGGATTTGTTGTATTTTCTTCCTGCTCCTATTACTACATGGAATGACATGAAGAGGTTGTTCCTTGAAAAATTCTTTCCTACCTCTAGATTTGCAACAATTTGGAAGGAGATTTGTGGCATTAGGCAACAACATGGAGAGACACTATATGAATACTAGGAGAGATTCAACAAGTTTTGTGCTACTTGTCCTCATCATCAAATAAGTGAACAATTACTCATTCAATACTTTTATGAAGGATTGTCACTTATGGATATGAGCATGATTGATGCAACTAGTGGAGGAGCATTGATGGATAAAACACCAATTGTTGCAAGATTTAATCAATAACATGGCTGAAAACACACAACAATTTGGAAAATAAAAGGTTGGAAAATAAAATCTCTGAGTTGACATCCTTAGTTAAGCAACTAGCTATTGGCCAACAACAAATGCAAACATGTGCAACAACAACTTCAAGATGTAGCATTTACAATTCAATTAAACATCCTACAAAGGTCTATCCTGATGGAGGACCATCCATGGAGCTTCATGTGAGACCCATCACTAAGCCAATGGCTAAGAGAGTGGAAGAGGATAGGGAAGTCAAAACCTTAGAAGACATGCTTCTCAAGATTAAAATACACTAATCACTCTCCTAAGCTTTGATAGCCTAGAATTTATCTTTATGCCTATTTTGCCCTTGTCTTTGATTTTCCATTTTTACCCTTGTATTTTGGGGTATCTTAGACATAGGATCTATTTTACTTGTATTTCCAATTTTACCCTTGTATTTTGGGGTATTTTAGTCATAGGATTTATTTTCTTTTATATTTCCCATTTTACCCTTGTATTATGGGGTGCTTTAGATCATAGGTTTTTATTTTTGGGCTAAGGTATTTGATTAGGGTGGGAACAAAACCTAGACATATTTTTTGTGGCTCTTGGACCTATTTTTGGTGTTAGAAAGACTTAGGCCCAAGTGGTGGGCAAAGGTTGCATGGTCTTATCATGCACCTAGATGTAGCCTAACTAATCCCAAAGATTTCATCCTTGGCCACCAAGTTGCATCTAGGGTTCATTTGCATTTCATTTGGTGTGCATTTGGCTTGTGAATTTCATCCATTCACTCTCCAAATGCAACCCTAGATGTCTCTCATTCCTATAAATACCCTAGGCTATGTATCATGTAAATACTTTGGATATTAAATATAAAGAGAACATTTTTTCCTTTATATCATCCTTAGTCTCCCTTGGCTAAATTCGGCCAACACCATACCTATCTCTACCTTGAGAGCAAACCCTAGAAGTGGCCTTCAACTACCTTGGAGTGAGCCAAACCCTAGAGTGCCCTCTCACACATTTCATCAAACACCTCCTCCACATCTTCCATTTTTGTCCATTCTCTCACAATCCCTCCTAAAATCACGCCCCACCTTGAAGATCTTGATCCTTGGAGTAGGCGTCCTCCTCCTTGCTCACCATCTCATGTTCATGCAAGCCAGGATGCCATCAAGTGGTATCTAGAGCTTTGGTTATCTTCAAGGGTAACTAGTGTTCTTTCATTTTCTTTGAGTCTTTATCTTTTTGAGTCATTATTTGCGTCATCTTTGTGTCTATTGCCATTCATGCAAACTTTTTATTTGATATTTTAGATACTTATTTAACAATTTCTGAATTCTTAGAATAATGGATTAAGCTTAACTCAACCCTACAAAACCGACTTGTAAAGTGAGGGTTGTTTTCCACTTATATACTATTCAATTGCTTAATCTCCTCACGTGTGACCCTTTTTTAATGATCTAGGATTGGCGGGACTTGAGTTTTTCTCAATACACCCCCTCACGTGTGACCTTTTTTTAATGATCTAGGATTGGTGGGACTTGAGTTTTTCTCAATACGATGACCCATTTAAAGTGGATCTAAATGACTCTGATACCATTTTAGAATAGTGGATTAACCCTAACTTAACCCTACAAAATCGGCTTGTAAAGTGAAGGTTGTTTTCCACTTATATACTATTCAATTGCCTAATCTCTAATCAACGTGGGACTTGAGTTTTTCCCGATATGAGTTTTAAGAATTAATAATAGGAAACCTTCCAAATTCATACACTGAAGTGGATGTTTACTTAAAATAATAATAATAATAATAATAAATAATAAAAAATTCCTTACCATGTCTGACATGGCTGCAAGAGAATCAGTATAAAAGGTACAAAACATAAAGGATGAGGCACTTGAATCAGATTAAACTCAAGGGTCTTGAAGATTTAGCAAAAGAATGGGAGAAGTGAAGGTGATTGCTACACCTCAAAGCTTCCCTTGTGCAAGGATTGAATGGGCTTTAAGGATAAAGGGTGTGGAATATGAGTACTTAAAAGAAGACTTGGCAAATAAGAGTCCTTTGCTTCTTCAGTCTAACCCAGCCCACAAGAAAGTCCCAGTGCTCCTACACCATGACAACCCAATTGCTGAATCACTTGTGATCCTTGAATACATAGATGAGACATGGAAGGAGAACCCTTTGCTACCACTAGACCCTTATGAGAGGGCACAGGCTCGTTTCTGGGCCAAGTTTATTGATGACAAGGTACCCACAAACACACACTATGATCCTCAATATATGTACTTGTTTCTTTGTAGCAATTCTTGTGTTGTGTGGGTGCTTGTAGCCCAAACCAATCAAAAGCATAACACAAAGTTGATCTTAATTTTAAGGTTTAATTACTTTTTTTTAATCTTTGTAGCTTTATAAACTTTATTTTTTGTCTTTATAGTTAAAATATTTCATTTGGATTAATATATATAGAGGAACTTACCGTGAGGATAACCTGCCAAGAAAACAAACCGGCGACTCTTTTTTAGTTGAGATCTAGATCTACTCTGGATGCTTACTGGAGATAGACTCCTATTGTACTTCTGCTATTTTCTATTTCTATGTTGTGTTTAGTTGTGTGGCTGGTCTATGTGTGTGTGTAAGCTTCCCATTGGATGTACTCCCAAGCTTGTAGTGCTAGAATGAAAATAATCTGATTTCTTATAACCACTTATCCTAAAAATAAGTGTCGGTGGAATTATTATATTCAATAACTTATTATTTATATTAAATTTAAATGATCTAATAATTGAATTGAAAAATTTTCATGGATACATAAGTTTATAAATTTTTGTAAGATCTGAAAATTATTTATAATTTGTTACACAAATTTTAACTAACGTAAAATATATTTTTATAAATAATCATTGATTTAAATTAATATATCAAAGTATCAAATAATTTTAAAATATGATAAAAATTTGTTGATTTATCTATTTATTATAAAATTTTAATTTAATAATTGGATTGTTGAAATTTGGTGTAGAATATCAAGACTTATTCTTAAAACACTCACATTAATTTTGCTTCTTTTTAGTCTCTATCATTTATTATTATTGGACTTAAAAGGTGAAATTTATGAAACTACATAGACTAAAAAAAATTTTAAAAAAAATGATATATACATGAATTAAAATATAACACTATTAACTATAGGAATTAGAACATAAAATTTATAAAATTGTAGTCACTAGAAACCTGTTTTAAAACCAGTTTTAAAAGATGATTAAACCTGTTTTAAAAGAATCTTAAATTTTGATTTATTATAGGTGTTATATATACTTTATGTAAGAGATTCTCCTTCACTGCCTTTACTGATGTATGTTTGGAGTTTGGACCTTATTTCCCATGAGAAGTCACTGGCTTTACCACAACCTTAAGCTAGTAATTGTTTGGTTACAACTCAACATTATGAAAAATTATTGCACAATTTAGTAGCACTAAATACAGTTAGAAGTTAAGATTTTTCCAATTCTCATAATTAAATATTTTAAAGTCTATATAATTTTTTATTGTTTGTAAATTTAATTAAAAATCATTTATGTAAAAAAAATCAAGTTATAATCATAGACCAGTGATGCTTTATTTTTTTAACTTAATTATGAGTTTTATATTGTCCTCAATGAACCACTTCATGTCTTTTCTATTTAAACTCTTACCATAACACTTTCAAAAGCATACAAAATCATGTAAATTAAACACTTAAATATAACTTATTTTTCTTACATGTGATGTTGCTGATATTCTAATGTCATTCTATTATATTTTGATTAGGCTTGTAGCCTTTTTCTTGCATGCATGATTTTACAAGAAATATATACATCAAGCTCAATGATATAAGCTTATTTTCTTGGAAACAGTGTGTGTTTGGTGTATGGGGAGCCACTGTGGCCCAAGGAGAAGAGAAGGAGAAAGCCATAGATGCTGCACTAGAGTCACTTGCATTTATTGAGAAGGAAATTGAAGGGAAAAAGTATTTTGGTGGGGAGAAGATTGGTTATCTTGACATTGTAGTTGGGTGGATGTCTCATTGGCTCAATGTCCTAGAAGAGCTTGGAGAGATTGAACTACTCACTGCTGAGAGGTTCCCATCTCTTCATGCCTAGCCTTAACTACAAAACCTCATCCTAAACCTTACAAAATGCAATGGATCAATGAGGAAAGAGGTGTTGTAGTTAACCAACAAGCAAGCATACCAATCTCTATTGGCAAGTATAAAGAAGAAGTTTTATGTGACATAGTGCCATTAGAGGTTAGTCATGTCTTGCTTGGGAGGCCATGGCAATTTGACAAGAAAACAATCCATGATGGCCTCACCAATAAAATAAGTTTCCAACACTTGGGAAAGAAATTTGTGTGGTGTCCTCTATCACCTTCTCAAGTGAATGAGGACCAACTCAAATTAAAATCTAAGAAAGATGAGGAGAAAAGCAAAAACAAAAACAAAAAAGAAAAGAAAAGAAAAAAAGAATTTTTCCTTTGAAGAAAAAGGGCTAGGTTATAGAGAACCTTAACCCTTGTGCCATCCTCATTCTTTTTGGTGCCAAAGAAAGATGGCAATGGAGGATGAACACCTTTTTTTAAAAAAAGCCATCATTGAATAAAAGGAACCCAATCCCTAATATAGATGATTTAGTGAATGAATTACATAGGGTCAATAACTTTTTCAAAAATAGTGATGCCTTTTTGGCTCTCTCCTTCCCCTAGTACTTTCATTCAAAAAATTGTGTACTTAAGGAGTGCATAGCTAAGTTTTAAGTAGTTTATTTCCCTAATTGTGGTCTCACATCTCTTGAAGGTACCAATGGAATGATTGAACTTGAATATTTGTGGTCAAATCCTTCTCAAGAAGGAGGGGATGATGGAGGACCATCCATGGAGCTTCATGTGAGACCCATCACTAAGCCAATGGCTAAGAGAGTGGAAGAGGATAGGGAAGTCAAAACCTTAGAAGACATGCTTCTCAAGATTAAAATACACTAATCATTCTCCTAAGCTTTGATAGCCTAGAATTTATCTTTATGCCTATTTTGCCCTTGTCTTTGATTTTCCATTTTTACCCTTGCATTTTGGGGTATCTTAGACATAGGATCTATTTTACTTGTATTTCCAATTTTACCCTTGTATTTTGGGGTATTTTAGTCATAGGATTTATTTTCTTTTATATTTTCCATTTTACCCTTGTATTATGGGGTGCTTTAGATCATAGGTTTTTATTTTTGGGCTAAGGTATTTGATTAGGGTGGGAACAAAACCTAGACATATTTTTTGTGGCTCTTGGACCTATTTTTGGAGTTAGAAAGGCTTAAGCCCAAGTGGTGGGCAAAGGTTGCATGGTCTTATCATGCACCTAGATGTAGCCTAACTAATCCCAAAGATTTCATCCTTGGCCACCAAGTTGCATCTAGGGTTCATTTGCATTTCATTTGGTGTGCATTTGGCTTGTGAATTCCGTTCATGCACTCTCCAAATGCAACCCTAGATGCCTCCCACTCCTATAAATATCCTAGGCTATGCATCATGTAAATACTTTGGATATTGAATATAAAGAGAGCATTTTTGCCTTTATATCATCCTTAGTCTCCCTTGGCTAAATTCAGCCAACACCATACCTATCTCCACCTTGAGAGCAAACCCTAGAAGTGGCCTTCAACTACGTTGGAGTGAGCCAAACCCTAAAGTGCCCTCTCACACATTTCATCAAACACCTCCTCCACATCTTCCATTTTCGTCCATTCTCTCACAATCCCTCCTAAAATCACTCCCCACCTTGAAGAACATGATCCTTGGAGTAGGCGTCCTCCTCCTTGCTCACCATCTCATGTTCATGCAAGCTAGGATGCCATCAACCTAACAATAACATCCTACAGAGGTTTATCCTACACTACAAGAGACCATTGACTTTAGTTGATGTTACTAGAATTTATGCTAGCCAACAATTTAAACCTCCTTAACAATAACAAAAATATGATCCTTACTCTTAGAGATACAACTGTGGCTGGAAAGATCATCCCAATTTGAGATGGGGACCACAACAACAAACAAACATGCAACCACAACAATAGCAACAAAGACCTTTATTCCAACCTCCTACTCAGAATAAATCCAAACAATAACAACTTGTCAAACAACCTAAGTAGTAACAACAACCTTCATTACAGGATTTGATGAAGTAGATGGCCATAAATAACATGCAATTTCAAAAAAATGTCAATGCTTGCATCCAAGATTTATAGTCACAGGTTGGATAACTAGCCACCACCATCAACAACATGCAGACACAAGGATCCAACAACCTTCCTTCACAAATAGTCATTAATCCTAAGGGAAATGTGAGTGCCATAACTTTGAAGAGTGGCAAGGAATTAGATGTTGCAATAGAAAAAGAAAAAAAAATACAACTATGGTAGAAGAAAATAAAATAGCAGAAAAAATACAATAGACGGAGAAAAATAGATTCCTTTGCCATTCCCAACTAGAGTACCTCCAAGGAGATATGAACTAGATCAAGAGTTACTGGATACATTTAGAAAAGTGGAGGTGAATATCCCTCTCCTGAATGAAATTAAATAGATTCCAAAGCATGCAAAGTTTCTTAATTAAGGAATTATGCACACACAAGAGGAAATTGTAAGGAGATGAGAAAGTGAAGCTAGGCAAAAATGGTTCAGCCATGATTAATAGTAAAACTTTAAATGTTTATGCCATTATGCCTTTTGATTTTGATTTATCATCTAAGCTTCCTGAAAAATGTAAAGATCCTAGAGCTTTTACTATTCCTTGCACCATAGAAGAATATATTTTTATTGATGTTATGTTAGACCTAGGCGTTTATACTAATGTTATGTCTATAGTTATTTTTAGACAATTGCAAATTGGAGAGTTGATGCCTAACATGTGTGGTCATTCAATTGGCTAATAGGAGTTTTATGCAACCACTTGGAGTGGTGGAAGATGTCTTAGTCAAAGTTGAAGATTTACTTTTCCCTGCAGATTCTTACATTTTTGACATGTAGACTGAGTCTAGGCACGCTGCCTTGATTTTAGGAAGATCATTCTTGAGGACAGCCAAGAAAAAAATAGATGTGCATGCAGGGACTCTCTCCATGGTGTTTGGAGATAACATTATGCAGTTTAACATTTTTTAGGCCATGAAAAATCTACCAGAAAATCATTCTATTTTCTGTTTGGATGTGATTGATGCACTTATTGATGATTGCACTAGTTTATGCTCTAATTTTGATGACTTTTTTGATTTTGGTGTTGTTAACATGCATTATGACAGTGATGATACATTTACATGTGCTATATGTGTAGAGATTGATGCTACTATTCCAGGTGTAGATATAGAGATTGATGTTGCTCCTGCAGATGTAGCCATAGTAGATGTTTCACCACCTGTTTAGGTTCCAGAGATTACACCACCATCACCTCACTTACGTTCCGTTGTGCAGACACCTACCTTGGAGCTGGAACCATGCCTACCTATATGAAATTTGCTTATCTAGAGGACCAGCAGAGGCTTCCAATCATTATATCTCTGCTTCCAATCATTATATCCAATAGTCTTCTACTTGACTAGGAGGACAAACTATTGTAGGTTTTGAGAGACCATAAGAGAACCATTGGCTAGACTTTAGTTGACCTTCTAGGGATTAGTCCAGCAATTTGTATGCACCAAATTTTACATGTGGTGAAGAAGTAGGTCATGAAGCTACTTGTACTTGGCATCATATATCCTATCTCTAATATCCAATGGTGAGCCTTGTGCAAGTGGTTCCTAAAAAGATTGGGATCACTATAGTAAAGAATTAGCAGGATGAGTTGGTTCCAACTAGAGTGCAAAATAGTTGGCGAGTTTGCATAGATTATAGGAGATTAAATCGAGCAACTCGCAAGGACCACTTCCACTACCATTCATTGACCAGATGCTAGAAAGGTTGGCACGTAAATCTCACTACTACTTTCTAGATGGATTCTCAAGATATATGTAGATTCACATTGCACTAGAGAACCAACACAAAACCACATTCACCTATCCATTTGGCACGTTTATTTATTCTAGGATGTCATTTGATCTATGCAATGCTTCGACCACCTTTTAGGGGTGTATGATTAGTATTTTTTCAAACTTATTGGAGCATTGCATAGAGGTGTTTATGGATTATTTTACTGTTTATGGTCTATCATTTGATGCATGCTTAGAGAGTTTGTCTAGGGTGTTGGTAGGTACATCCAAACTAACCTTGTGCTGAATTTTGAAAAGTCATTTTATGGTAGTAGAAGGTAAAGTTTTAGGGCACTTAATTTCTAGTAGGGGGATAAAGCAAAAATAGATGTCCTTATTTCTCTACCTTACCCCACTTCTGTGCGGGATGTTCGTTCTTTTCTAAGACATGCAAGTTTCTATAGGAGGTTCATCTAGGGCTTTAGCAAGATAGCACTACCATTGTCCAAGCTTCTGCAAAAAAGGTGGAGTTTGTCTTTGACCAGCCATGCTAGGAGGCATTCCAAGAGTTGAAAAAGAGGCTGACCACTGCTCCCATCATTCAGTCACCAAATTGGGAGTTTCCTTTTAAGTTGATGTGCGATGCATCCAACTTTGCACTTAGAGCTATTTTAGCTCAGCGAGTTGGGAGACTTTTTCATGTCATAGCCTATGCCTCTTGCACACTAGACTTAGCTCAAGTTAATTATACCACCATGAAAAGAGCTTTTAGCAATTGTATTTGCATTAGATAAATTTTATTCTTATTTGCTTGGCTCTAGTATTTTTGGGTTCTATAACCATCCAACTTTGAAATTCTTGTTGAAGAAGCTAGATGCTAAACCCAGATTAATCAGGTGGATGCTATTTTTGCAGTAGTTTGACATTCATATTAGAGATAGGAATGACCATTTGAGAAAGATAGAGGGGAGGGTTGTTGATCCTCTCCCTATTAGAGATGATTTTCCTAATGAGCAGTTGATGCTTGTACATGATACTGCTGCTTGGTTTACTAACATTGTTAATTATTTGGTTACTTCTATTTTACCTCCAAATGCTTCTAGGTCCCAAATAGATAAATTGAAAAGTGATTCTAAATATTATGTTTGGGATGACCCT